AAAAAAAAAAAAAACAAAAAACCGGGGCAGGGTTATTGTTAGAATCCAGGGCAATATAGGGGCGCCCGACTGGTTCAGTTGGTGGAGAGTGAGACTCTTGATCTGGGCGTCGTGGGTTCGAGCCCCACTTTGGTCGCAGAGATGACTTAAAAATAGGGGCGCCTGGGTGGCTCAGTCGGTGAAGGTGAAACGTCTGTCTTCGGCCGAGGTCATGATCCCGGGGTCCTAAGATCGAGTCCCACAAGGAGCCCCGCATGGGGCTCCCTGCTCGTGGAGGAGCCTGTTTCTCCCTCTGCCTGTGTCTGCAGCTCCCCCTGCTTGTGCTCTCTCTTTCTGTCAAATAAATAAATAAAATCTTTAAAAAAAACCAGACAAACAAAACAACAAAACAGAGAATCCAGGGCAATATAATACTAATAATAGGTCACTGTTAACATTATTATTATTATTATTATTATTATTATTATTATTATTATTATTTCTCATCTGACTTGCCTACAGTCTCCTGGAATCCGGACCTGAGAACCAGGTCATTGATAAGGTCCCTTCCTGCTACATGACATTTGTGACTCCCCCCAGAAATCAAGGGGTGACTCCCGAGAAAGGGCAGTGAAAGGAGCTGAGGTTTCTAAGCCCAGACATCTGGATTTAATTCCAGCTTCCTGTATGTACTAGCGGAATGCTTCTGCCTCACACATAAGCCTCAGAATCCCAGCCACGGAGCCTACTAGAAGCTTATTTGTCATTCCTTTAAACTCCGGTCGGTGCAGGATGCGTGGAGGGACGTGGGGGGAAATCCATGCAGTCTCAGGCATTCTGGCTCTTTCCATCTTATGGCTCTGCCATCCCCGGGAGCCCCAGTTTCCAGGGGCGTCCCCGCATCCAGCCAGCGGAGAGGGAAGGGGGAGGGACACGTAGGAGGTGTTTATGGGCCAGGCCTGGAAATGGCTGCATATCACTGCACTTGGCCAGAATTCGGTCACATGGCCCCACATGTAGCTGCAGGGGAGGCTAGGGAAATGTGGTCCTGTCATATTCCTGGTAGGGAGATGAAATGGGGTTGGGAGGGCAGCAAGCCAGTCTCTGCCACGCGGGCCACTTCCTAGCTTCGCCACCTTGGCCGCCGACTTTGTTTCTTTGAGCCTTGAGTTCCTGCTCTGAAAATCCTGGTAAGCAGGCCTAGCTTCTCCGCTGGCTGGCCGGCTGTGAGGAGTCTGAGAAATCTGACTCTGGTTCTCTCTGGCCTCCCCTCCACCCCGCCCCATCTTCGATTAATTTGCCCAATATCTCCTGACAGGCACCAACTGGATGATTGAGATCCTCAGCTTAATCCTAAAGGACGGGGACCCATCCTGGATCCGCTCGGTGCCCATCTGGAAGCGGGCACCCTGGTGTGAGACCATCATGGGTGCCTTCAGCCTCTCGGACCAGCCCAGCCCCCGCCTCATGAGTTCCCACCTCCCCATCCAGCTCTTCACCAAAGCCTTCTTCAACTCCAAGGCCAAGGTGCAGGAGGCGGGAGGGGTGTTGGGGTGGGGGAGAGCTGACTCGCCCTGACTGATGGGTTCAGCACATTCATTGAACACCTACTATGTGCCTGGCCCTGATCTAGAACAGTAGCTAGTAAGCGCATAGCAATGTAAGCCCACATTCTAAGGGGTAACAGGCAGAGAATAGATAAGGAAGCTCTTTAATATGCCAAGGTGGTAAATTCACATCAGAAAGGAGCAGAGTGTGGGGGTGTCTGGGGGAAGAACATTCCAGGCACAGGGAAGGGCAGGTGCAAAGGCCCCAGGGTGAGTGTGGCATGCCTGAGGCTGGCAAGGAAGCCTGTGTGGCCAGAGCCAACTGAACGAGGGGGAGAGGGGTAGAGATGAGGTCAGGGAGGTAACAGGCTCCCAACTGTGCAGGGCTGCGTGGGCTAGGGTGGGAACTTCACTTGTCCCCTGAGGGACATGAGCCAGGGCAGGGCTCTGAGCAGAGAAATAGGAGCCGACTTAGGTTTCCACAGGCGCCCTCTGGACGCGAGGTGGGGGACAGACCGTGGGGGTAAGGGCAGGTAGTCCAGGTGGGAGGCGACAGTGGACGAGACCAGGGTGGTGGCAGTGGAGGTGAAGGAAGCAGGCTACGTTTGGGGTGTATTTTGAAGGTGGAACCAGTAGTCAGATTAACTGACAGATTGGGTGTGGGTGTCAGACAGATGAATCAAGGGTGACTCCACGGTGTTTGGCTTAAGCTGCTGGGAGGATGAGGCTGCTGTCACCTGGGATGGAGGGCGGCGAGATGGGGAGGTTCAGGGGAAAGTGGGAGCTCTGTCATGGCCCATAGGTGTCTGGGTGTGGGTTGCCAGTGGGCAGGGAGATAACTGAATTGGGATTTGATAGGACAGATCTGGGATGGACATGCGTATCTGTAATTGGCTGGTCGATAGAGATGGATGGAGTTGTTAAAGCCAGGAGACTGGTGGGATCACGAAGGAAGTGAGTGGCTGACCATAGTCTTGGGGAAGGAGACAGTTACCAGGGAAGGACATATCCAATGGGGCTGGAGTGGGCTTGGTTGTGGAATATGAAGCAGGTAAACAGAGTGGAGCCAGGTGATCGGGGCCTTGAATGCCAGGCCCAGGGGCTGGGACTCTTCCTTGGGGTGCTGGAGAGTGGAAGAAGGCAGGGTCAGCTCTGGGTATAGAAGGACCTTCTGGGGCCATGTGGAGGCTAGGAGGCTGGGGAAGAGGCTCTGGTGAAGGAACAGGCAGGAACAGATGAGTTAAGGCCTTGGCTATGGGAATAGGAAGGAGGGTCAACATCTCTCACCCTGATCTCCTCCATCCTGAGTCCCATGCCTTCTTCCTTCAGTCTTTATTCCCTGAAGCCAAACTGTCACTCTGCCTAGTCCAGGAACAGTCCCACTCTCCTCCTGGAATGTGGTTGCAGGGAGCTCTCCCCATCCGCTGGGATGAGGTGAACTGATCTAAGCTTAGCGGGGCAGTCCCCTGAGAAGTCAACTCTGAGTCCTTCCTGCTGTAGGATCAGAAGAGAGAAGGCTTGGGAACATGCAGTCTTCGGGGCTGGGGTCCTGCCTGTGTCTGACAGCTTCTGGCCTCCTCCCCAACATCCACACACAGGTGATCTACATGGGCCGGAACCCCCGGGACGTGGTGGTCTCGCTCTATCATTACTCCAAGATTGCTGGGCAGTTGAAGGACCCCGGCACGCCTGACCAGTTCCTGCAGAACTTTCTCAAAGGCGAAGGTGAGGACTGGGGCAAAGTGAGATGGGGGGAGCCCCTTGGGGACCCAGCCAAGAAGGGGACAGGGGAGGGGTACGAAGGAGAGAGAGGCAGAGATACAGGGCGTTACAGTGAAGGAGACAGGGGAATAGAGAGAAGGAAACAGACAGACAAACACATAGATACAGAGAGACAGAGAAGAGAGAAACAAAAAGAGAGAGACAGAGATGCAGAAAAGGGACAGAAACAGAGAGATGGGGAGACAGGGGTTTTCAGGGTGCCAGGTGTGGGGGGTTTGGGGGAGGCGTCCAGCTCTGAGGGGCCAGGCCCGGGGCCACATGGGGCCAGTGAGGCCCCCCTGAGCCCCGAGCCCCAGCGGAGGTGGTTTTGCTGCCCGGACCTCATCCGCCTGCCCCTCCGCCCGCAGTGCAGTTTGGCTCCTGGTTCGACCACATTAAGGGCTGGATTCGGATGCAGGGCAAAGAGAATTTCCTGTTTATCACCTATGAGGAGCTGCAGCAGGTGATTCCCCCCCCCCGCCCCACCCCCACCCCACTCCGGCCCAGCGTCCTCCACTCCTCCCCTCCTCATACCCGCTTCCCTTCCCGCGAGGCCTGCTCTGCTGCCTAATGCACCAGATACTGGGGGCGCAGTGGTGAACGGAGCAGGGTCCTGAGCCCCTGAGCCGCAGAAGGGGCATGGACAAAGAAGTGAAATAGATGGCAGCTGGAGAGCAGAGCGAAGGAGAAAAGGCAAGCCGAATAGAAGCTGAGGATAAGGAATGTGTGGGGGCACAGTTTTAAATAGGGTGGTCAGGGAGGCCTCTGGGGGGAAGATGACACTTAAGCAAAGATCTGAAGGAGAAGAAGGAGCCCTGGAGATATCTGGGGGGAAAGTGTCCCGGAAAGCCCGTGCAAAGGCCCTGAGATGAGAGCATGCTTGATGTGTTCCTAGGGGAGCAAAGAAGCCCAAGTGGCCAGAGCCAACTGAGTCGAGGTGAGGGTGGGAAATGTGGGCAGAGAGGGGATAGGAGGCACGGGGAGGACCTTGGCTTGTCTCTGAGTAGGTGGAAGCCCCCGGTGGGCCCTGAGCAGGAGAGGAGATAGGATAGATGAGGTCATGCGGAACTGCAGCACGTGGGAAGTGAGCTTCAATGATGGCTGTGACCTGAAGGGCAGAAGGGAGCGGTGGAAGGAAACAGCCTTTGGAGTTAGATGGGGATCCTGTCTGGACCCCATCAAACGTCCCTGGAGCAGGCACCCGGGAGAGGAAAATGCCTTCTGGCTGGGGCAATCAGGGAGAGCTCCCTGGAAGGTGCCATGCAGAATGCCCACTGCTTTGCTGGGCTGTAAGGAGGATGCTGGGCTTCTAGAGGGACAACCCACAGTGAACATAACCAGCCATTCTAGATCCTTTTTTTCTTTTTTAGCAAACACTTTTTTTTTTTAAGATTTTATTTCTTTATTTGAGAGAGAGAGCATGGGGGGGCGGGGGGCAGACGGAGAAGCAGACTATCCACTGAGCAGGGAGCCCAATGCGGGGCTCGATCCCAGGACCCTGGGATCATGACCTGAGCCGAAGACAGACGCTTAACTGACTGGGCCACCCAGGTGCCCCATTCTAGATTCTTAACAAAGATGTTCCCAGAGGCTGGGTACCTGAGAAGCTCCCATTATATGCCCCTTCACTAAGCTCCCCAGACATGTTCCCTTCTTGTGTGTTTCATGTATGTGTTGTATTCTTTCTGTCAGTACTTTTTGGAGTGGGAAACATCTGAATTTTTATGTCCAATAAAACAGTTAAAATCCCCTAAAATGTTGGGGTGCCTGGGTGGCTCAGTTAGTTGGGCATCCGACTCTTAATTTCAGCTCGGGTCTTGATCTCATGGTCGTGAGTTCAAGCCCAGCATGGAGCCTACTTTAAAAAATCCCCTAAAGTCTCTCAGAGCCTCAGACATCTCATCCTTAAAATGGGTGGGAAAGGGTGTGCCTGGGTGGCTCAGTTGGTAAAGCAGTTAAGCGTCCACCTTCGGCTCAGGTCATGATCCCAGGGTCTTGGGATCGAGCCCCGCATCAGGCTCCCTGCTCAGAGAGGAGTCAGCTTCTCCCTCTTCCTCCACCCCTACCCCCTGCTCATTCTCTCTCTCTCTCTCTCTGTCAAATAAATAAATAAAAATATTCTTTAAAAAATGGTGGGAAAACGCAGGCTCATGGGATTGCTGTGAGAACCACAGTGGCTGGCACTGGCATATTATTACCATCTGACAAGGTATGCCACAGTGTTAATAGAGTGTGTAAAGTGAAAGTGATTAGGTTCTGAGCAAGGGCCTATCTGATTAGTAGTAACAATAGGAGCCAATGTCCCCTGAGGGTGAGAGAGGCCATGCACCAAATACCACATATGGTTCATCACATTTAATCCTCACCAGGTACGGGCAGGTGAGTTACCTATTAGAGCGAACCACATAAAATTGCCAGCATTGAGCCACATTTTATAGGGTTCACCCCAATATTGTTATTAGCCCCATTTTATTTATTTTTTATTTTTTTTAAAGATTTTATTTATTTATT